TTCCTCTTAGTTTTATTTTATGGGTTTGGACTCTGGTGTTTTCAGGTGAGTTACCATAGCGGGCCAACAGTTTCTCTTGTTTCAGTACGACAATGCTGATTGCTGATTATATGCCTGTGGTTCGGCAGTCTATTACACTTGCTTCCAGAATTACTGTAAGAGTTTTCTGTTTTGTCTTCCTTTACTTATATTTTCACAGTTCAGTGACTGATATATTTTATGCCATATCAAGACACTGAGTAAGTAGTCAGGGAGGTTTCGTGGGATTCTTTACATTTCTCTTCCTTTTAAAAAATTTAGTTGGCAAGTATTTCACATAATAGTTTCCAATATACCACATGCCAGCAGTCATGTTTTATCTCTTGCATGCTTGCTGTGCTCATTCTGTACTACTTTTTTGTCCACTAGTACTACTAATTTTGTGCATGTGTGTATATATATGTGCATTTACATATGTAAAGCTTTTTTATTTGAAAATCTCCAGTGATATTCAGTCAGCATCCCCAATATTCTGTCTGGCATTGGATGGGTAACCTTGAGCTGGTGGTTGTTGACTATTTGGTAATTTCACACACATGCTAAACTTCACCTTTCTGAAGCCTACCTCTGCATTTGGTGCCCTGCCAGCCTCAAGATGCCTTCCACTCCATTGTCTTGTGAGGCTGCAAAATTAAACATGCCATCAGTTCTGCTAAGAGTCACTTTTCCAGCCTTGGGGACTTGCTGGTAATAGCGGGATAGAATAGAGGCTTAATTTGCTACCAGTTTGGATTTGGGGTACATAATTGGGTTTTTTTCAACTGATTTTTTTTTTTTTTTAAATACATTTTTACCTTGCAGCAAGAACAGTATCAGTTTCTGTGGGGTAGTAAAAAGAGAACAAAGAACAAGAGGGGAAAAAAAAAAGGAAATTACATCTGGCACTTGGGGGGCGGGGAAGAATAAGGAGGAAGATCATTTGTTTGGAAATTCAGAGCGGGAGCACAGAAATGTTGGGTTATGAATAAATCTTTATATGCAATATACATTAGCAATCAATTGACCTTTCACGGAATTTTCAGCACTGTAATCACTGCTCCTTCCCATTCGGTACCCTGCTCTTCTCCTGAATGTGTCCATCCTTCCCCCTTGTCTCGTAATACCTTACAAGATTAGATACCATATGTTAGTTTTATAGGGAAAGCCCTGTCCTCCTTAAACCTCTGTCAGATCACTGAAAGTCAGATTTTTTGACATGTCAGGAAATTGGATAACCGAGATTTTAGGTATTTATCTGCAACAGTCTTCCCCTGTATTGAGAACAAACTCAGAATTATAATTGGTATCCTGGAATATATTTGAGCCTTTCTAATATAAGGGCTGCAGAGGTTACAAAGCACTTCTGCCTACCAAATGTTATCTCTAAGTGAGGATACTGACGCAGCAGTTATCAAAATTGGAGAAATGTGTGGATGTGCCCAGAAAGATCAATGACTCTCAGAGGTTCACAGGCACCAAATGGCTGGTGCTGGATTCCGAAGGAGCGCCGGCTGGCTCCGTCGTAGGATGAGCGTGTTGGAGGGGAGGCGCGGTGGGGACAGAGACTAGATAACAATAGAAACGCGCTGAAGGGAAGAGC